GCGTCACCTGAGTGTCACCTGTGTGACGTCATCACCTGTGTGACATCACCTGTGTGACGTCATCACCTGTGTCACCTGAGTGTCACCTGAGTGTCACCTGTGTGACGTCATCGCCTGTGTGACATCATCACCTGTGTGACATCACCTGTGTCACCTGAGCTACCTGTGACACCAGCAGCGTGCGGTTCCTGAAACACACCTGAGTGTCACCTGTGTGACGTCATCACCTGTGTGACATCATCACCTGTGTCACCTGTGTGACATCACCTGTGTCACCTGAGCTACCTGTGACACCAGCAGCGTGCGGTTCCTGAAACGCACCTGAGCGTCACCTGAGTGTCACCTGTGTGACGCCATCACCTGTGTGACGTCATCACCTGTGTGACGTCATCACCTTCGTGACGTCATCACCTGTGTCACCTCTGTGAGCTGCGTCACCTGTGTGACATCACCTGTGTCACCTGTGTGACATCATCACCTGTGTGACATCATCACCTGTGTTATGTCATCACCTGTGTCACCTGTGTGACGTCGTCACCTGTGTGATGTCATCACCTGTGTGATATCGTCACCTGTGTGACATCACCTGTGTGACATCACCTGTGTCACCTGTGTGACGTCATCACCTGTGTGACATCACAAATTTCCACCAATTTTTCCCAATTTTTCACCGTTTTTCCCCATTCCCCCTTCCCCAGGTGCGCCCAGGTGTCCCCAGGTGTGCCCAGGTGTGCCCAGGTGCGCCCAGGTGTCCCCAGGTGTGCCCAGGTGTGCCCAGGTGTCCCCAGGTGTGCCCAGGTGCGCCCAGGTGTGCCCACGTCTGCCCAGGTATCCCCAAATCCCCGAATTTTCATTGATTTCCCCCAAATTTTCACCGATTTTCCCCAAATTTTCGCCGTTTTTCCCCATTCCCCCTTCCCCAGGTGCGCCCAGGTGTGCCCAGGTGCGCCCAGGTGTGCCCAGGTGCGCCCAGGTGCGCCCAGGTGTACCGGAAGAGCCCCTGCTGCAGCAGGGAGAGGCGGCGTGTCTTGCGGATCAGCACGTCGGCGATCTGGCACACCTCGATGCTGATGAAGAACACGGTGTAGCAGGTGTACTGCTGGTACCTGCGCTGCCCGAAGGTCTGCGGGGGCACGGCGCCAGGTGAGCCAGGTGTGCCCAGGTGAGCCCAGGTGAGCCAGGTGTGTCCAGGTATCCCCAAATCCCCCCATCTTCCCCCAATTTCCCCCAAATTTTTACCATTTTCCTCAAATTTTCACCATTTTCCCCCATTTCCCCACCCCCAGGTGCCCCCAGGTGCGCCCAGGTGCGCCCAGGTGCGCCCAGGTATCCCCAAATCCCCCAATTTTCATTGATTTCCCTCCAATTTTCCCCAAATTTTCACCATTTCCCCCCATTTTCCCATGCCCAGGTGTGCCCAGGTGCACCCAGGTGCGCCCAGGTGAGCCAGGTGTGCCCAGGTGAGCCAGGTGTGCCCAGGTGTGCCCAGGTGCGCCCAGGTATCCCCAAATCCCCTCATTTTTATTGATTTCCCTCCAATTTTCACCAATTTTCCCCAAATTTTCACCAATTTTCCCCAAATTTTCACCGTTTTCCCCCATTTCCTCATCCCCAGGTGCACCCAGGTGTGCCCAGGTATCCCCAAATCCCCCCATTTTCATTGATTTCCCTCCAATTTTCCCCAAATTTTCACCATTTCCCCCCATTTTCCCATGCCCAGGTGCGCCCAGGTGCACCCAGGTGCTCCCAGGTGTGCCGAGACGTGCCCAGGTGTGCCAGGTGTGCCCAGGTGTGCCCAGGTCTCCCCAGGTATCCCCAAATCCCCCAATTTTCATCAAATTCCCCCAAATTTTCACCAATTTTCCCCCAATTTTCGCTGTTTTTCCCCCTCCAGGTGCCCCCAGGTGCGCCCAGGTGCGCCCAGGTGTGCCAGATGTGCCCAGGTGTGCCAGGTGTGCCCAGGTCTCCCCAGGTATCCCCAAATCCCCCAATTTTCATCAATTCCCCCCAACTTTCCCCAAATATTCATCAATTTCCCCCAAATTTTCACCGATTTCCCCCCAATTTTCGCTGTTTTTCCCCCTCCAGGTGCCCCCAGGTGCGCCCAGGTGTGCCCAGGTGTGCNGCCCAGGTGTGCCCAGGTGTGCCGCACCCACTGCTGGCCGTAGCTGTCCTGCAGCTCCTGCTCGTGCGCGTCCTCCCAGCGCGGGCGCAGCCCCAGGACCAGCAGCGGCCACCAACCCTCCTGAGCCATGGCCACGAAGTAATCGGTGAAACCGGCCAGGGACTGGATCACACCTGGGCAGGTGAGACAGGTGAGATATGGACAGGTGAGATATGGACAGGTGAGACAGGTGAGATATGGACAGGTGAGCAGCACAACCCTCCTGAGCCATGGCCACGAAGTAATCGGTGAAACCGGCCAGGGACTGGATCACACCTGGGCAGGTGGGACAGGTGAGATATGGACAGGTGAGATATGGACAGGTGGGACAGGTGAGCAGCACAACCCTCCTGAGCCATGGCCACGAAGTAATCGGTGAAACCGGCCAGGGACTGGATCACACCTGGGCAGGTGAGACAGGTGAGACAGGTGGGACAGGTGGGACAGGTGGGACAGGTGAGATATGGACAGGTGAGATATGGACAGGTGAGATATGGACAGGTGGGACAGGTGAGACAGGTGAGACAGGTGAGATATGGACAGGTGAGACAGGTGAGACAGGTGAGACAGGTGGGGCAGGTGGGACAGGTGAGATATGGACAGGTGAGATATGGACAGGTGAGATATGGACAGGTGAGACAGGTGAGGGACAGGTGAGGGACAGGTGGGACAGGTGAGACAGGTGAGACAGGTGGGACAGGTGAGACAGTGAGACAGGTGGGACAGGTGAGACAGGTGAGAGACAGGTGAGGGACTGCAGAACACCTGGACAGGTGAGGGACAGGCCAGAGACAGAGCAGACATGGCACAGGTGAGGCAGACTTGTGAGGTTGGACAGGTGAGTGGCACAGGTGATCACAGGTGGGCTCAGGTGATCTCAGGTGTGCCCAGGTGGGCTCAGGTAATCTCAGGAGATCACAGGTGTGCCCAGGTGCCCCCAGGTGCGCCCAGGTGAGTTCCCAGGTGCCCCCAGGTGTGTCCAGGTGCCCCCAGGTGCACCCAGATGAGTTCCCAGGTGTGCCCAGGTGCCCCCAGGTGTACCCAGGTGCGCTGTAACTGCCCCCAGGTGAGTTCCCAGGTGCCCCCAGGTGTGCCCAGGTGCCCCCAGGTGTGCCCAGGTGAGTTCCCAGGTGTGCCCAGGTGTGCCCAGGTGTATCCCAGGTGCCCCCAGGTGTGCCCAGGTGTGCCCAGGTGTGCCCAGGTGTGCCCAGGTGAGTTCCCAGGTGTGCCCAGGTGCGCTCTAACTGCCCCCAGGTGTGCCCAGGTGTATCCCAGGTGTGCCCAGGTGT